ATTTTTTTAATGATTTTATTTCGAATGAAGAGATTCGTTCTCTGTTTCTCTTATTCAACAAAATCGGAAATTTTTCCCAAATTCCGGGAATACTTTCCGTGCTTCATAACATGGCTGCCGCGAGTTCACGTACAGCAACAATAACGGAGCTGAGTAGTTTTACCTGAGAGCAACGAGAAGAAAGTACCCGGCGAGAACAGGCGGACATCGAATCGGTCGCAGGGTGGTACACCTTCAGATAACAACTTACGAATCCAATAAAGTTTCTACCCCTTTCCCTGTGGCTGGCAGCCTCGCGCAGCTGCGACCCCGATCTTTCTTCCCGCCGGGTGTGCATTTGATTGGTAAAAGTTAGCTGAGTTTTTAAGCCAATTAAATTGTACGAGCCGAGCACAGAGCCCGGCAACTTTCTCTAACGCGACGTTGGTAAGCGAGGTACCGTGAATTGGGAGTCGCTGATCCGGCGTGGCACAGAAGCTTTACCCAACGAACGCGATGCTCAGTTGTTAACGCTCAAACATTTCACTTCTACAGTCTCCGCAATTATTGTTGCGTGACGAGCATAATCTCGTTACGGGTAATACTTCACCACCGTAAAGGTTGTTTGATAAAATAAGATTATGAGAACGTACACGACTGTTGAAAGGTCTCATTTTAATTTAAAGAAGCAAATATCAAATCGTGTTTGAAAAAGTTCGATGCATACTATATTTAATAACACTCTTTAACGCAAAATAATTTATATTTCAATATCTACTTGAAAAACTCGATTGCAATAACCTGTGAGGAAAAAATCTGAACGAGGACTGGAGTATACACAAAAGACACTGAAGAAACGTGTTCAGGTAGCAATATGCTTACACACCGCGTATAAGAGTAAGTAGATAGTCGAGCCGGTACGAAAGGCGAGGCAAAAATAAGAAAGCACACGGGTCGTTGTTCATTGACGATGTTTGACGACAAGAGCTGAAAGCAGTATTTGCCTTATAGCTGTTCTCATTTCTGATAAACATACACGCGGATGGCCTCTCGACGCGTCGATATGAGGGAAAACTACGTCATATAGCGGTATACCTTCTGCCCCTTGACCCCGTGTTTTACGATTCTCTACTAAAATACTTGTTTACCGGCGCACCAGGAATGCTTAATTTTGTCATCTTGCAAACGAACGATGATAAAAGCGCTGCTAGGTGCTAGCCTCGTTTAAAGCAGTTCCATTGAATTCTTCGAACCAATAAAATTCATTTGGACAGACGTAGTCACCATCCGTTTGTTTGATTTTTTTAAATTAATCCGTCGACGCTTGAGTCGCAATGTGAAAAATGAAATTTCAATTTTAATAATTCAGATTTTCGCATTGAACTAAATTATTTGACAATGGTTTAATTAAAAAATTTGTTAAAGAAACTTCTGATTGATCTCTGAATAAACTGTTAGTAATTTGTTCATCGCGAACCTTGTTATTCGTTAAAAGCATGGACATAAAAGTCCAGTTGAAAGTAATAATTCGTTGTGCGTAGTGAAGTTTCATCGTTAAAAGTTGCCACTCCATGGCTAATGATAATTTTGGTTAAAGTAAATTTTTATACAGCGTTTCACTGAACTTAAGTGAAACTGAATTTACTGTCCTTTATGCTGTTCAGGGTATAATTATATTGTCAGGATTTAAAATGCAATTAGTAGTATAATAAGTGAATTATAATGAAAGTAAAAAATAATAACATTAATTCCTTCTGAAAATCAGTGATCTATTCGTACTACTAAGCGAATTCGATTACTTAAAGTAAATCAAGGTTTATCCGGCTTTCGTTTGCTCAGCTTTCAAGAGTATATATACCAAGTATTCGCTTCAACACGGGCTAATGTATCTGCTACTATCGAACTCTTCAAAAAGCGAAGCCTACGCGATCCTCCGGAGTGCATAATTTAAAGAGGATTCTGTATTTCATCACGCACACTTGGGATCTGCTTTCTCTCGTAATTACCTGAAAGTTCAGTCTTTGGTAGTACTGATACACAGATACCGTGCGAGAAACCCTCGTCCATAAGCCCTGGCCTTTTAACAATCTGCTTTAGAACACTGGTATTGTATCGGTAAGTACGTCATTATATCTTTGACAAAACCATTTATGATTAAATATGAAGTTGGAATATTCTCTAAAAATCTCAGAGCAGCAATGAATGTATTTTTAATACGTTAGTACAACGAAGAGTGTACTACGTTGGTAAACATCTTTTGCAAAGTTATTAGGATGAAATACTGTTTTATATTTCCTGAAGAAAAGTCTCGCATACAAATTTATTTATACAGCCCATTGTCTAATTTTTTCTTTTGTGAAATAGTGAGAAAATTTTTAACGCTCATTTATTTAGGCTGGTGTATTCCACCAGGGATCTAGTTTCTGGAATATCATGCCACAAAATTTCTTGCGTGATGTTTGGCAAGTCAAAGTAGGCGTGCTCTATCATTCACAGCAGCCTCTTCACTGCATGCTGTACACATTTTTCTCCGGCCTCAGTAAACTTCCACGTCTTCTGTGATACGGCATAATGTCTCGAACAATACTGAATGCGAACATGTTCAATTTTCTTTGTAAAAAATTTCGAATTTTATTTATATGCTAATTCGCTTGAACTTATTTCCTCATAATATAAATGTTATCTAAAGAGAGGACGATAGAATGAAAAACATATAAACTATTCTAGCACATTTATCGAAGGTATTATTAAGATCGAGATATATTAATTTGTAAATACATATATCAAAAGTATATGGTAGTTATATACGACTCGATGGCTCGCAATTAATGTCTCTATACGTTTCCTGCTGGCGTTCAGGGTTTTCCATTGTACGGAGAAAAAAATAAGCCGATCGAATTGCTGGTCAGAGCTTCGAGGACAGATCTTCCATTCACAGACTGCTGTTCCATCAATTGAACAATCCAGGTCATCGGCAGACTTTTTTTTCCCTTCTAAGTCTGCTATTCGAACAGATTCGCATCGATAGACCATTTTCTCCACAATATTTTCAAGACAGTATTAATCTGCAGTACATAAACTATTCTAGCACATTTATCGAAGGTATTATTAAGATCGAGATATATTAATTTGTAAATACATATATCAAAAGTATATGGTAGTTATATACGACTCGATGGCTCGCAATTAATGTCTCTATACGTTTCCTGCTGGCGTTCAGGGTTTTCCATTGTACGGAGAAAAAAATAAGCCGATCGAATTGCTGGTCAGAGCTTCGAGGACAGATCTTCCATTCACAGACTGCTGTTCCATCAATTGAACAATCCAGGTCATCGGCAGACTTTTTTTTCCCTTCTAAGTCTGCTATTCGAACAGATTCGCATCGATAGACCATTTTCTCCACAATATTTTCAAGACAGTATTAATCTGCAGTACGAAACGCTCCTTTCCATTTGTAATCATTCACTAGGCCAATGTAAAACTAGTATAATGGTGCCTTTTGCATCTTTTGTACAGACGTTGCATTCAGATAGTCTAACATTTCTATGTTTCACAATAATTTTGATAAAATCTTATGTGTTTCTACGGAGTGTGCCAACAGAATTCCTTCTGTATCCCCTGCAGATGTTGCATTTAGTTAACTCGGTTCAGAGTTATGTATATCAGCGTGCGAGGAATGCCGTTTCCGAAATGAGTTATTTCTTACCGTGCCGCGGCGCGTTCTGGAAATTCGACGGATTCCTTGAAACGGTGTTAACCGTAAGTAAGAAACTGGCAAAACCAATTTTCTCGCCCCGTCGGCCCCGCAATCCCTTATGAGTTAACATTTCTTTGTGAGCAAGCGCATGCACGCGCACTAACACTAATTTCGTCCCGTAGTTTCATCCTGCAAGGGTCGGAACGTCGACTTTTTCCCAAGGGCTTCCGCAGCCGGAGCATGTGCTCAAGAAAATAGCATCCTCCGTGTCCCGCGTTTCCCTTCCTCGTTAAAAATATTAGATAAATACGGAACGTGAACGTCGTTGTCCAATCCACTATTCCCGATTATTTAAATTCTTTAAATAGATATAACATATAGATTTATGAACAAATTTTTAACATTGACTGTATTTAGCTGGCCATTCCGTCGGGGTTTGAAATTACTAACCAAATTCTGCCTCTAGTGGCTTGGGACAAGATAGTGGCATAAGCCAGTTTATTATTCCAAAAGAAGCTTCACGTACTTTCGAAAGTTATAAGAACGTTTCTTGGTAGAAGATGAAGTTGTAACTTGTTCCACTATGACATTAAAAGAATGACACTTGTGGGAGATATAAATCACTTTTAAATGTAGAAACCGTAAAACAAGAATCAAAAGAATCTTTTTATTCTAGGAGTATTTAACTG